CGGGTTTCGATACCCGTGGTGGGCAGAGCACAGATAGCCCTTGTGTAGCTTTGTGCTTAATCACAAACAAACAAACAAATACATTTTGTTATATTAAAAATTTAATTGTTACAGCAAGTGCGTAATGAATGCCCAGTAACTAATACGAATCGAGTAATTTATAAGTAATTGCAAGTAGTGTTTTCTGTTTTGTTTGTTTTTGGAAATTCGCGCAAAGTTTCACAAAACCGGCATCATTCGCTACATTTTTGCATGATGTACGAATCTGAATTTTGGGTTTAAACTTACCTGAAGTTGAACTTTTGAGCGAAAGCTTGTATCATTTTTAAATCAATACCTTCCTTTACATGCAAATTGCCATTTGAATCATATTCATGGGCGAAAAACGGGAAAGTCTGAAAATACAGGTAAGTAAGGTATTATTATTAGTAGTTTCATTTCAATTTGCCATTTCTTAAACTTTAGCTTTAAGCATTAGGAGTCTAAACTTTTGGTTTATTTGACTCTCACTAACGATCATCATTGATTATGTGGCGTAACAAAACAATGGACAATTTTAAAATATTAATTTATTCTGGAATTCAGATTTGTAGATGTTATTTTCTGCTTGTACAGTTTCTTTTCAAAAGGGCGAAACTTCTGAAAATATCTGTTCTATTCGTTTCATGTAATTCACCTGAGGATTCCAAGTTAACCTGGTGAAACGTCCAGAAATAATAATAGTAGTAATAATGATAATAAAGTTAGATTTGTAAATTATTAAAGTAGTGTTGAAAATTATATGAAATTTTGTTAAGCTCTTTCTTTGAACTAAGCTCAGAAATATAACACAAATGTGAAGGGAAACGTTGTGTCTCACAGGTCAGATAGTTATTAATACTTCTCACAACTTTACCATGTATGAACGACACATTCAAATTCGACAATAATTAATTTTCTCACGAACGGTAGGTTTTATATGAATATGGGTGTTTGGAGAATATAGGTGTCGGAACTAGACCCCATCTCCACTAGGCCCAACACCCACTACGACACCCCATACATTTCAATAGACTTATAATTTGCTCAACTTGAATTGACATTTTGGTCCAAAATCATGGCTCAGTATAAACAGATAAGATTTTAAAATGAAGTTGATAACTATAGATAAAGGTTGAAACATATTAAAGAGAAGTGAAAGGTCATAAGTTGATCGTTAAACTGCTTATTTTCACATTGATTTCACTTGTAGTTTTTTAAACCAATTTCAGCAAATATTGAACCACAAATTGCCACTATTATTGTAAATACATTCCAGACGAGAATCATGCCTCCTTTAAGCTACTTCTGACGACCTTGATTAACATTCAACTTTGACCCCAGAAATTTTGTTTCCAACACCTATGGTTTAGAGTACAAGACAGTACTTGAAGCCAACAGTTAGTGCTTACAGTACAAGACAATAATTGAAGCCAACAGCTAGTGCTTACAGTAAAAGACAGTACTTGAAGCCAACAGCTAATGTTTACAGCACAAGACAGTACTTGAAGCCAGCAGCTAGTGTCTACAATACAAGACAGTACTTGAAGCCAGCAGTACTTGAAGCCAGCAGCTAGTGTCTACAATACAAGACAGTACTTGAAGCCAACAGCTAGTGCTTACAGTAAAAGACAGTACTTGAAGCCAACAGTTAGTGCTTACAGTACAAGACAGTACTTGAAGCCAACAACTAGTGCTTACAGTAAAAGACAGTACTTGAAGCCAACAGTTAGTGTTTACAGTACAAGACAGTAATTGAAGCCAACAGCTAATGCTTACAGTAAAAGACAGTACTTGAAGCCAACAGCTAATGTTTACAGCACAAGACAGTACTTGAAGCCAGCAGCTAGTGTCTACAATACAAGACAGTACTTGAAGCCAGCAGCTAATGTTTACAGCACAAGACAGTACTTGAAGCTAGCAGCTAGTGTCTACAATACAAGACAGTACTCGAAGACAACAGCTAGTGTTTACGTGTTTCGTACGTAATATATATATACTCTATTATTTCGTACTGTTACTTTCATTAACAGTGTTGGTTAGAAGCTTTAATATATTTAATCTTAATTATTATACTTTTATTAGATAGATTGTTTTGCATTATTACCTAAATAAATGTGTTTATAACTAACCTAGATCTTATAAGCGAGCTTATAAGCAGCGATGATACCAAATTGACGAAAAAATGAATTCTAATGTTTATAAATAAGAACGTAAAAGAAAAGTATATTTAATTAGCTATACTTATTACCAGTTTTGCTTTAAATGCGTAGCTTTCTCTGATTGTTATTAAGTAATATCTTCTTAGATCCTAGTCAACGGTTAATATATCAGTTTTTTATATTAAAATCAAATGTATGTATAAAAGACAAATACTTCCATAATAATGTGGTACTAAAAATTACAATGTGTATAATATACTATTTGAAACTCACATGAACTGATGCTACAGTTATTTCTCGTCCACTGAAATGAGGGCGTTTTGTGAAACGGAAGAAGTCGTTAGATTTCCCGGGTAGAAGTTTCCGACGTTTGGAAATCCACTTTCCTATTTGTATCCGTTGGCTACAATTATTATTCTCAATATCGGGACCATCGATGATAAAGTTGGTTTCAGTTTTTTTACAACGTCTCTAGCATAATTGCAAGTAGAGATTGAACTTAGATATTAAATTCATAAGTATTTGCTTATGAATTGGATTGAATGAAACCAAAAATGGACATGGGATTTGGACAATATTTAAAAAAAGATCGATATGATAAAGTATCTTCGTCGCTCAGACACAAAACCTATTTTGTTGAGTTAATTCATCCAGTTTGTAAAATTAGAGGTTTACTGAGAAGCGTACAATACTGCTGTTTCCACAGCTGTTATAACCAGTTTTTAAATTTATAGAAAAATATATCAAACAAAACTTTATACAACCTTTAAAACGAACATTAGTATTATTATTACAACCTTTAAAACGAACATTAGTATTATTATTACAACCTTTAAAACAAACATTAGTATTATTATTACAACCTTTAAAACGAACATTAGTATTATTATTACAACCTTTAAAACGAACATTAGTATTATTATTACAACCTTTAAAACGAACATTAGTATTATTATTACAACCTTTAAAACGAACATTAGTATTATTATGATATTTCTAAAAAGGTTAGCGATTCTTGTCAAACAACAAGTATTTTAGCAACGACAGGTCAAACAGCTAGAGTGCATACACTGGTTAAGTTTCATGTAAAAAAAAACAACACAAACATACACAAAACTCAGTTTGAATGAACCAAATGAACTTTTAACAAATACATAAATACCAGACGGCTAGTAGCCACTGTGAATATATCATAACACCAGATCATTTTAACATTTTATGTTTGAAACAAAGGTAGTATTCACTAGTAATAAATCAACTTACTATTTTTTACAATACAAACCTTTGTTAAAGGGTAATGGGTACTGACCAGAACAGTTTTTAGCAACATTACGTAAAGGTAGACCAACAGTGACCACTTTGAATAAACAAACAAGTAAACTCAAAAAGGATTTTAGCCAACGATAATTAAATTATCCACATCGTTTTTAAAACAATATTTAAACTGCAGAAAAGTAGCGATAACTAAGAATAGATCAGATCATATTTAGTAAAAATTTCTAAACTGGCGGAAAGTAGTAATTAGTTTGTTTCTATTTGTTTCGTCTTTAAGCGCAAACCACACAATGGGATTATCTGTGCTATGTCCACTTCGGTAGGCCCGGATTAAGCAGTGTGCACGCGGTGAACTTGCACACGGTCCCCAACTCAGAGGGAGCCCTCGACTACCGGGGCATAAAATACATCAATGAGATTTCATAAATAGGTGTATATGACAAAGAAAACCAACATAAAATAACAATACACACCAACGTCATTCACTCCTCCATGTTTTACAATGACTACAACGCTTTCTCAGCTTATCTATTTTTCATTAAATTATTACAGTACGAACACAAAATATTTGCCCTGTCAGTGGTATGTGTGTGTTATTCTGTGACAAAGATCTGTTTTTGTATTAATAATACTAACATTATAGGGAACTGTTCTAATATTTATAGTCTGTATATATCATATGCTCTGGCTAGTTGAAGGAACAAGAGACAAATTGTTCATAGTACACAAGACCCCAAAATTCATTAATCCGGTACTGTATCTCGGGTAGCGCACCCCGATTTTTAACGTTACATAAACCCTCAAGGTTATTGCTCAGCCACTGAGGGACTTTATGATAAGTGAATATCACCCCGATTTTTAACGTTACATAAACACTCAAGGTCATTGCTCAGCCACTGAGGGACTTTATGATAAGTGAATATCACCCCGATTTTTAACGTTACATAAACCCTCAAGGTTATTGCTCAGCCACTGAGGGACTTTATGATTAGTGAATATACAAGTATGTAGATTTTTATTTTTTTTCACCCGAAGGGCACCTTATGCACACATTGGCTAAATGGCCATGTCAGATATTCCTATGGTTCAGGTTTAGCAATTCCAAATTTTGAGCTATTGGATACAGGGAAGGCAGTCAAAACGTAGTTCTTGCCGCCATAAGGACTTTGATCGACTCTTTGTTAAATTTACATATCGGTTCAGATGACTTTTAAGCAGCTGTAATATGTTTTAACTTTCCTTTTACTTGATGTTTATGTTATTAACAATGTTTCTTCGAACGTGAGTTAGTTTTAGCTGCAGTGAAATAAGAAGTATAGAAATACAAACTTTTATAGTGTTATAATATTTAAATTAAAAGTGTTCAGTTTTCTAAAGTAATTGCTAATTAGAAAATATGACCAATATATAATATATTTGGGTAAAAATATAATGCCAAAAGAACCAATCCTTTGAAAAATTGAATATATATTTACGGATACATAATAATTTTTTTTATAAGCACACTACTATTTAATTAATCGAGATTGTAGACTCACTAGACAATTTTTGAGCTTATCTTTATCATTTTATTGTTTCCAGAAAATAACACCGTGTTTTTTCTAGTTTTACACGATTTTAATCTTTCTCCAGTTCACTGAGTTCATCATATTTAGAACTTTAATTGTGTAATTAACGATTCTATTAATATTTTTTTCCGATTTATTACACCATACAGCAAGCAGTTTTTCTTTATAAATTATTAGTTACTGCTCGCTAAGTAACTTGATTTGTTTAGAAAGTGATTTTTTATGAAAGCTCAATAGTTAGTCGTGGCCCGGCATAGCCAGGTGGTTAAGACACTCGACTCCCAATCTGAGGGTCGCGGGTTCGAATCCCTCTCCCACCAAACATGCTCGCCCTTTCAACCGTGGGGGCGTTATAATGTGACGGTCAATCCTACTATTCGTTGGTAAAAA